GGCCTGTTTAGTAATTGCTAAAAACATCTCCAAACTACAAATTATTTTTGGATACCTTTGAGCAACAGTTGTGCCTAAAAAAAAGTTCACTATTTTTTTCATATCATGAATTTACATGCAAAAGTTTAAAGTTCAACATAAAAATTAAAAATTGAATCAAAAGTAGGTTCATAGGGAAGCAAGAACTGAATTACAAAATTGTGTCAACAATTCTCGTTGTTCTACTCCTTGTCCTTGATGAATTGGTCAAGTTATTTGGAAATTCTTGAGCAAGATTATTAGCTTGGTTGACTATCCCCTGTTTCATGTTCCAACAGTTGAACCTAAGTGCATTAGAAACATCACTACTTAAATACGGGCAATTGTGTTTTCTCAAAAAAGACAATCGTTTCAAATAGCACCAGATTAAATAGGTAAAATACCTGTTCAGCAATTGAAAAAACATAGAAAAGAAGTCGATTTTGAATTTCCAACTAACATGTGTTTGTCTAACTTCTCGAAAGATCTATAATGATATGTATTAAATAATATTTTATATTTTACCTGCAGGTGTTAGATACGAGACCATCAACCATAAGCCAAGCTACCACGCTAGCCGAGCAGTCTCCCTAGTTCCTATTACGGGAGACAAACTTATCCTTAAATTCAGCATCATCAGCACTATAAAAGAACTGCTTTTTAATATTAAAAAAGGATTATTAAAATGATCATATGAATTCATAAAATATGAATATTCAAGAAAAAAATGTGTACGACAGGCAATCTCAGAGCTCCTGTGGTACCCTAAGTTCCTACAATCCACATTCCATAATCTTTGGAGTATAGAAATAAAGAGGGAAGAACAAAGTTGGCACTAAAAATAGTAAAAGAATCTTTGCATATGAGTATTTAAAGACAAAAAATTAATATACTTAAAAGAACATTTAGACAACTGGTATTGGGCCATAAATCTTTATATATCCATCCTTTCCAAACTTCTGTATAGTCTCATATTATGTTTAAACACCAAGTCTAAGGGAAAAACTATGAAATAATAGAAAACACCATTTATTGCAAAGTGGCTAAATTCCATATCTAAAGTCAGAAAGGTAGTATCGCAACCATGTCATGTATGTGTTAACTAATGATGAGAAATCTTAAATAAAGATTTGATTGCATCTCAAAAGAAGAGGAAACCTCCAAATGTATGCTACTCCAGTATAACTGATTATGCATTAAAAAATAGCTTAACTATGTGAGTTTGCCTGAAATGACTTATTTGCTGCTAGTTGGGTGTTGACCAATTTTAAGGATAGATTTGAGAAAGTCAAGCACTTCTAAATTTTACGTAGATGAATTAAAAAAAAATTTGATAAATTTGACGAAATTTTCAAATGAATTCAGGAAAACATAATCTAAAAATCAAACTTAACATTTTCTTTTTCATGTTGCAAAAAAATGTCACCGCCAGAAGCCGCTTCTTGTCACCATCCAGTGGCTGGATGCCTAAAAATTTAACCTTTCAGCATGATAAACGTGTAAGTGTAGATTTTCTTACTGTGCTCCTTGCCTAAAGCCCTGCTCCACTTAAACCCTAGAAAAGAAGATGCGCACTTTAATAGATTTATAGCCCCGCCATAATTTCAGCACCTAAGTTTAGTTCAGTCTCTCATCTGTTCCCGCTTTTCTTCTTCTTAGCTCTTAGCTACGCCAGAGCGGCAAGTTCCTGAAGTTTAGTTCTTTGATTATTCTTCGAAGCTAAATTCTTGAATCCAATTCTTGAAGAGCAGAGTAGCAGTGACCTCCTGTAGTCTGTTTCTTGATCAACTACCAAATATCATTAGATCATATATCACCAATGACCATGATTCCCATTGCATCTCCCTAATAGACTAACTTATACAACATGACCTAATATCTTTAGCTAAACAAATAATTCAGCAAATCATTTTACGTTCTTATTCCAGTTCCAATGTAATATTAGCTGTTGATCTTGTCACTCATTGTGATGTGGGTCTTAATTTTTAGATTGCTATGACACAGTCATAAAAAAAATTGGTGGAGACATGACAACCCCAATGGATTGAATCATTTTACAGTAGTTACATTGTTAGTAAATGTATCAATCCTAACCCATTAATTTTAAATTCTATGATTATTTGTTTATGTAAATTAGGAAAGTTCGAGGAGACTAGAGCCCATTTTGATAGGCTTGTTATGATGAGTTATCCTCCTAATAAAATTGCTTGTAATTATGTTCTCAGAGAACTTTATGCACAAGAAAAACTTTTAGAGGCGTTTAAGTGTCTTATTAGACTCAGTGAAACTTGTGTTATTCTATGTTTTTGGTGTTATAATTTGTTATTTGATAGTTTATGTCATAAAGGATAATTAGATGAAATAATGCAATTGTTTGATATAATGTGTGAAAGAACTAGATCTTCACCAACACGTCATATGCATAAGTTTTTGTTTTATATTCTTTGTAAAAGAAGGTGGATTGTTGAGGCAGAGACTTTGTTTAGAGAAATGTAGTCACAAGGTTTCTTTGTAGATAAAGTGATGTACACTTCTCTAATTAATGGATACTGCAAGGATAAGAAGATGAAAATGACAATGCAAGTTTACTCGAGTATGCTTAAAACTGGTTGTGAGCTGGATACTTATACTTGCAACACGACGGTTCACGGGTTTACCAATGTTGGTTTATTTGATAAAACTTGTGTGTTGTACAAT